TCCGATCCCCCCAAAACCCCAAAACCCCAAAACCCCATATAAGCCTTACTGTTTTGATGTAGTATAATACTTAATTTATTTGAATGGAATCAAGTGCAGCTATTGCAGAAGATCCTAATTACAATATTGATAGACAAGGCCTTATCGATAAAACCAACAAGTGAACTGTCCCTCTCTACTGTGTTGATGCTGTTGCTACGATTGACAGTGGCATTGCTGAAATCAAGTATACCCAGTTCTACTTTAATGACAAGGATGAACCTATTGAAGCCGAACATGTGTTCCCAACTAACACAGATTGGACTTTCTCTCACTTGAAGGCTACTATTGGAGAAGAAGTTCTTACAACAAAAGTGGTAGAAAAGAAAGCTGTCAAAGAGACTTATACTGATGCTTCAAACATTATTGACCCAGCCAGCAGCTCTTCTCTGTTTCCACTAACAAATGACATGATGTCGGTTCAGCTAGGAAGAATTCCTGCTAACACTCCAGTGTTTATATCTTGAGTTTTCCAGCAAATAATGCGAATTGAAGATCTAAGTCGGAGAATTCAAGTTCCTGTTCAATTACAGCCCAAACAAGTTGGTGATTTGCCACAATCCATTAAAACAGAAACAAGTTTAGAAAAGATGATAAAAATGTCTGAGCCATTAAGAGGAAATAAGTTGAAGCAGAAAGTAGAAAAAGTTGAAATGATCTACTCATCAAGCTCGTTCTTATGAGACTTTGTTGTGAAGATCAAATCTAAGGATCCAATCACCCGTGTTATTAGCCCTACCCACCAGATCGAAGTGAAATGCTCGAATGCTAAGAAACTGAATGCTGAAGTCAGCATTCTAGCTTCAGAGCTTGGAGAATTATATACCAAAGACTTTAAGCTCTTATACAGAGACCAAGGCATAGACAAACCCAGCGCTATTCTTCAGACTATGGACGATATGTACGCACTAATGATATCAATGCTGGTTGACTGCACTCCTGAGAAAGAGTGGCAGGAAAATAGAATCGCAGTGGATCGAGATATTGACCTTGATCCAACAATCAGATATTCTGAAAAAATAGGAAATCAAAATAAGCCAGCAAGGTTTACCTTTGTGATTGATAGAAGCGGATCAATGAGTGGTCCAAAAATTAAATTAGCAAATGAAGCTTTGATGCTTTATATCAAAAGCTTGCCTCTCAATTGATCATTCAACATCATTTCTTTTGGAACAAATCACAATTATTTATTCTCTAGATATGTTGATTATAATAGTACAAACTGTACTCAAGCCATCGACCAAGTAAAAGCTTTTGGAGCAAATTATGGTGGAACAAATCTCTACAGCTGTCTTCAAACTTTATATTCAGCAACATTAGATAGTACTTTTGGAGAAAATAATGTAATTCTGTTGACAGATGGGCATGTTGGGCAGCCAAACGATTGCTATGAAATAATTAGGAAGAACTCTAATAGATATACTCTCAATACTTTCGCAATTGGAGGAGGTGCAGATAAAGCTCTTCTAGCTAAATGAGCACAAGTTGCTGGAGGAAAGTCTTTTTATGTTGATGAAAAATGCTCAAAACTAAAAGAGCAGATTATTTCTTGTCTCTCAGAATCTCTAGTGCCAGATGTTGTTATCGAAGATTCAAGTGAAATTGATCATTGTGGAGAAAAGATTTTGGAATATCCAGAATTCTCAGAGCTGAAGTCAAAGCCATTTGCTCATGGAAAATATCTCACTTACTTCATGATTTTTGATTCTCTCAATGAGACTCTCTCAGGGAATATTGATATAGACTGGAGCGAAGTAGGAACTGCAAACAAGAATTCAGTCTCATTGTCATTGGAAAGAGACGTGAAATTCATTCCTGGAGATTCTATCTTCAAAATGGCATCAGACCACTACATCAAAACAAACAGCAAATTTGTTGTTGGAAGAAAGTTAATTCTCAGACTATCTGATAAATTCCAGATCTCGAGTGAATTCACCAGCTTGATTGCTGTGACCAGCAGAAACAAGGCTAAGAAGATTATGGAAGAAGATGACTTCAGCACAAGAGCCAAAGATTTCAATCAAGTAGAATTTTCCGGAAATAATCCAATGAGAGCGAAGATCAAGACCTTCACTGGGAAGCATCACCTAGTCCATTGCTACCAAGAGACTTTAATATCTGAATTAAAGGAGTATCTATCGTACCTGCCAGGGACTCCTGATGATCCTTCTCTAATAACTCTGACTTATGATGGAGTCAAGATGAGGAGTGGTCCCGACAAGAAACTTTGCGACTATGGGGTTGAGAACATGAAAGTTATCCAAATGTTAGAAGTAGTTTCACATAAAGAAAGTCTTATCTCTTGCAAGCCTAAATCTGAAATCAACATAGATAGACTGGTAGAACTCCAGAAGCATGACGGATCTTGGGATGCAACCATTGCAGAATTCTTTACTGTGGACTATAAGTCGTTGAAAGCTTCTCTGCCTAAGGTAGTTAGTAGACTTGGAGATGACACTAAGGTATTCTCAGTGATGTTCACTTGGCTAGGCCTTGATCTGATTGAGAAGTACTTCCCATCCAAAGAAGGCGAGTTATCGCTGATCACAGAAAAGGGAGCCAACTTCATCGAGTGTGTCACTGATGGGAAGCTTGGATACAATGATATTCACATGAAGGTGAACTACAAAGCAGAATAAAATTAGCGAAAGAAAAGAAAATTGGAAGGAATATATGCTTCAGTTGATTTAAATGCTAATTTGCCAAAGAATAGGATTTTCTTCCAATTAACTCTTCAATTTCGAAAGATAAAGACGGGGTTTTGGGGTTTTGGGGTTTTGGGGTTTTGGGGTTTTGGGGTTTTGGGGTTTTGGGG